AATTGAGAGAATGAATTTTAATCGGAAATATAAAGAGAGAGAAAGAGAGAAATTTTAAAAGAGAGTTTGGAAAAATTAAGAGAATGAATTTCAATTTGAAAATATAAAAGAAAGAAAAGAGAGAATTTTAAAAGAGAGTTTGGAAAAATTAAGAAAATGAATTTTAATTTGAAAATATAATATAGAGAGAGGTGAAATTTTAAAGAGAGTTTGGAAAAATTAAGAAGATGAAATTAAGTTGGAAATATAAATAGAGAGAAAGAGAAAATTTTAAAGGAGAGTTTGGAAAAATTAAGAGAATGAATTTTAATTTGGAAATATAAATAGAGAGAGAGAAGGAAATTTTAAAAGAGAGTTCGGACATTTAAGAGAACGAACTTAAATTTGAAAATATAAATAGAGAAAAAAAAGAAAAGTTTTAAAAGAGAGTTTGGAAATATTAAGAGAATGAATTTCAATTTGGAAATATTAAAGAGAGAAAAAGAGAAATTTTAAAAAAAAAAGTTTGAAAATATTAGGAGAATTGTTTTCCAGTTGGAAAAATAAATAGAGAGAAAGAGGAAATATCAAAAGATAGTTTGGAAAAAGGAGAGAATGAATTTTAATTTGGAATATAAATAGAGGAAGAGAAATTTTAAAAAAGAGTTTGGAAAAATTAAGAGAATGAATTTCAATTTGAAATATAAAAAGAAAGAAAGAGAGAAATTTTAAAAGAGAGTTTGAAAAATTAAGAAAATGAATTTTAATTTGGAAATATAAATAGAGAGAGAGAAATTTTGAAAGAGAGTTTGGAAATATTAAGAGAATGAATTTCAATTTGGAAATATAAATAGAGAGAAAGAAGAAATTTTAAAAGAGAGTGTGGAAAAATTAGTTAATTGAATTTGATTGGAAATATAAAAAGAGAGAAAAAGAGAAATTTTAAAAGAGAGTTTGGAAAAATTAGGAGAATGAATTTCAACTTGGAAATATAAATAGAGAAAGAGAGAAATTTTAAAAGAGAGTTTGGAAAAATTAAGAAGATGAAGTTCAATTTGAAAATATAAATAGAGAGAAAGAGTGAAATTTTAAAAGAGGTTTGGAAAAACTAAGAAGATGAATTTTCAATTTGAAAATATAAATAGAGAAAAGAGTGAAATTTTAAAAGAGAGTTTGGAAAAATTAAGAAGATGATTTTAAAGTTGGAAATATAAATAGAGAGAAAGAGAAAATTTTAAAGGAGAGTTTTGGAAAAATTAAGAGAATGAATTTAAAGTTGGAAATATAAATAGAGAGAAAGAGAAAATTTTAAAAGAGAGTTTGGAAAAATTAGAGAATGAATTTCAACTTGAAAATATAGAAAGAAAGAAAAGAGAAATTTATAAAGGTAGTTTGGGAAATTAAGAGAATGAATTTTAAGTTGGAAATATAAATAGAGAAAGAGATAAATTTTAAAGGAAAGTTTGGAAAAATTAGGAAAATGAATTTCAATTTGGAAATATAAATAGAGAGAAAGAGAGAAATTTTAAAAGAGAGTTTGGAAAAATTAAGAGAATGAATTTCAACTTGAAAATATAGAAAGAAGAAAAAGAGAAATTTATAAAGGTAGTTTGGGAAAATTAAGAGAATGAATTTTAAGTTGGAAATATAAATAGAGAGAAAGAGATAAATTTTAAAGGAAAGTTTGGAAAAATTAGGAAAATGAATTTCAATTTGGAAATATAAATAGAGAGAAAGAGAGAAATTCAAAAAAAAAGTTTGAAAATATTAAGAGAATGAATTTCAATTTGAAAATATAAATAGAAAGGAGAGAAATTTTTAAAGAGAGTTTGGAAAAATTGAGATAATGAATTTTAAATCGGAAATATAAAGAGGAGAAAGAGAGAAATTTTAAAAGAGAGTTTGGAAAAATTAAGAGAATGAATTTCAATTTGAAAATATAAAAAGAAAGAAAGAGAGAAATTTTAAAAGAGAGTTTGGAAAAATTAAGAAAATGAATTTTAATTGAAAATATAAATAGAGAGAAAGAGTGAAATTTTAAAAGAGAGTTTGGAAAAATTAAAAGATGAATTTAAAGTTGGAAATATAAATAGAGAGAAAGAGAAAATTTTAAAGAAGAGTTTGGAAAAATTAAGAGAATGAATTTTAAATCGGAAATATAAAGAGAGAGAAAAAGAGAAATTTGAAAGAGAGTTTGGAAAAATTAGGAGAATGAATTTCAATTTGAAAATATAAAAAGAAAGAAAGAGAAAAATATCAAAAGATAGTTTGGAAAAATTGAGAGAATGAATTCAAATTTGGAAATATAAATAGAGAGAAAGAGAGAAATTTGAAAAGATAGTTTGGAAAAATTGAGAGAATGAATTTCAATTTGGAAATATAAATAGAGAGGAGGAAAATTTTTAAAGAGAGTTTGGAAAAATTAAGAAAATGAATTTTAAATCGGAAATATAAAGAGAGAGAAAAGAGAAATTTTGAAAGAGAGTTTGGAAAAATTAAGAGAATGAATTTTAAATCGGAAATATAAAGAGAGAGAAAAAGAGAAATTTTGAAAGAGAGTTTGGAAAAATTAGGAGAATGAATTTTAAATCGGAAATATAAAGAGAGAGAAAAAGAGAAATTTTTAAAGAGAGTTTGGAAAAATTAAGAGAATCAATTTAAATCGGAAATATAAAGAGAGAGAAAAGAGAAATTTTGAAAGAGAGTTTGGAAAAATTAAGAGAATGAATTTCAATTTGAAAATATAAAAAGAAAGAAAGAGAGAAATATCAAAAGATAGTTTGGAAAAATTGAGAGAATGAATTCCAATTTGGTAATATAAATAGAGAGAAAGAGAGAAATTTGAAAAGATAGTTTGGAAAAATTAAGAGAATTTTCAATTTGGAAATATAAATAGAGAGGAGGAAAATTTTTAAAGAGAGTTTGGAAAAATTAAGAAAATGAATTTTAAATCGGAAATATAAAGAGAGAGAAAGAGAGAAATTTTGAAAGAGAGTTTGGAAAAATTGAGAGAATGAATTTTAAATCGGAAATATAAATAGAGAGAAAAAGAGAAATTTTGAAAGAGAGTTTGGAAAAATTAAGAGAATGAATTTTAATTTGGAAATTTTAATAGAGAATATTTTAAAAGAGAACTTAGAAAAATTAATAGAATGAATTTCAATTTTTGAAAGAGAGCTCGAAAAATTAAAGAAGAAATTAAATTTGGAAATAAAAGAGAGAAAGAGAGAAATTTTAGAAGAGAGCTTGGAAGAATTAAGAGAATGAAATTAAGTTGAAAATATTAAGAGAGAGAAAGAGAAATTCTGAAAGAGAGCTTGGAAATATTGAGAGAATGAGTTTCAATTTGAAATATAAATAGAGAGAAAGAGAGAAATATCAAAGATAGTTTGGAAATTAAGAGAACGAATTTTAACTTGGAAATATAAATAGAGAGAAAGAGATAAATTTTAAAAGAAAGTTTGGAAAAATTGAGAGAATGAATTTCAATTTGGAAATATAAAAAGAAAGAAAGAGAGAAATTTCAAAACATGGTTTGGAAAAATTAAGAAAATAAAGTCAATTTTGAAAATATTAAGAGAGAGAAAGAGAAATTCTGAAGGAGAGCTTGGAAAAATTAAGAGAATGAATTTCAATTTGAAAATATAAAAGAAAGAAAGAGATAAATATCAAAAGATAGTTTGGAAAATTAGAGAACGAATTTTAACTTGGAAATAAATAGAGAGAAAGAGATAAATTTTAAAAGAAAGTTTGGAAAAATTAAGAGAATGAATTTCAATTTGAAAATATAAATAGAGAGAAAGAGTGAAATTTTAAAGAGAGTTTGGAAAAATTAAGAAGATGAATTTCAATTAGGAAATATAAATAGAGAGAAAGTTTAAAAGAGAGTTTGGAAAAATTAAGAAGATGAATTTCAATTTGGAAATATAAATAGAGAGAAGAGAGAAATTTCATAAGAAAGCTTGGAAATATTAAGAGAATGAATTTCAATTTGGAAATATAAATAGAGAGAAAGAGATAAATTTTAAAGGAAAGTTTGGAAAAAATTAAGAAATGAATTTCAATTTGGAAATATAAATAGAGAGAAAGAGAGAAATTTCATAAGAGAGCTTGAAAATAATAAGAAAATGAATTTCAAGTTGGAAATATGAATAGAAAGAAATTTTAAAAGAGAGTTTGGAATAATTAAAAGGAGGAATTTAAATTTGGAAATTTAAAGAGAGAAAAAGGAATTTAATTTGGAAATATAAAGAGAGAGAAAAAGAGAAATTTTGATAGAAAGATTGAATAAATTAAGAGAATGAAGTCAGTTTGGAATTATAGAGAGAAAGAAAACAAATTTTGTTAGAAATATTGGAAACATTAAGAGAATATGATGTCACTTTGGAAATATAAAGAGAAAAAAAGATAAATGTTAAGAGAGTGTTGGAAAAATAAAGAGAATGAATTTCAAGTTGAAAAATGAAGAGAGAGGAAGAAATATTTTAAAAGAGAGCTTGAAAAATGTATAAAATGAATATTAATTTGGAAATATCAAGAGAGAAAGAGAGAGAGAATTTAAAAATGGGATTGGAAGAATTAAGAGAATGAATTTTGATTGAGAAATATAAAGAGGGAGAAAGAGAAAGTTCAAGAGAGAAAATGGAAAAATCAAAGAATGAATGTCAGTTGGAGATAGAAGGAAAGGGAGATTTAAAAAAAAAGCTCGAAAAGATTAATAAATGGATGTCAATTTGGAAATATAAAGAGAGAGAAGGTTAAATTTATACGAGAGAGAGAAATATAAAGAGAAAGAAAGAGACAAATACGAGAGAAATTTTGAATGAGAGCTTGGATAAACATAAAGAATGAATTTCAACTTGGGAAGATAAATAGAGAAAAAGAGAAATTGGTAAAGAAAGTAAATTGAAAATATAAAGAGAGAGAAAAATAAATTTTGAAAGAGCGTGGAAAATTGAAAATATAAAGAGAAGAAGATAAATATTGAGTGAGAGCCACGAAAAAAAGAAAGAAATTTTCACCTTATTATTCTTGTTTTCATCTTCTTCCGAACTCTCTTCGTTTCCTTCCAGTCTTGTTTTCTTGCTTCTTCGAATATTTTCTTCTCTTCTTCCAGTAACTTTCTGCGCTGTTCCTGCAGGATAAGAACATGAAAGTATAGTTGATTTGGGTTGAGGAGTGAGACTAGTCAGTATTTGTGCTAGTGTGCAACAATACACCAACCAGCCCGTGGGTTAGAGTTAGGTATGCCCTTGAATAAAACCATTGTTTTTATCATAATCTGTTTTTTCATAAGCGATTTTTCCTATGAGGCGAAATTACCTGCAGCGAATTTTCCTAGAACCCAACCAGTCAGTTTGTTGTGAAAAAATCGCTTTTTCCTACAGAACTACAAGTACAATCAACAATTAACTATATAACTGTTGTACATAGGCATGATTGGTATGATTGAAACCTGCAATCTCGTGCACGACGTGCAGGAATATCAAAATTGTCTCATTAACGCCTAGAAAATTTCGCTAATCGCCGAGTCTGACTCGGCTTTATCCAAGCTCACCTGAATTTGCCAGCGTTCCTTTTCCATTCTCTGTCTTTCCAAGACATCAAACCTGAGTTTCGATCCATCTAACTTAGACGGTTTTCCTTCGTTGGTTTTAGGCTTCTTACGCCGTTTTGTCAATTTCTTCTTTTTCCTGTCGTTCTCAGACTTTTCTTTATCGCTTTCAGGCGAATCTCGTTCTGATTCTGAATCAGTGCCGCTAAATGTTGACAGAGAATCATCTGATTGAGCGCTCGCCTGTAAAAGGAGTTTGGAAGGATATGATTAGCATTTACACATTAATCCCGGGGGATAGGTAAGTCATTAAGACGGTTTAATCATTCAATTATCGCGTTACGTAAACCACCATACGAATGGCAAGGAGTCCAGCACTCCTCTCGCACATAAGTATCGACGGGATTCGAGCCTGCGAACCCACGCAGAGTAATCAGAGGTGCGGTGGCAGAAGTATTCATAACGTTGGCATGCGAAAAATTGGCGGCTTGTCAATAACCAAAGATTATTTGAGTAAACAGCATAAAATAAAACTCATTAATAAATTAGTAAGAGACGTAAAGTTATAGGGTGATCCCCCTTTTCAATAATCCAGTCAAATCTCACCATTTTTTTCTTCTGTTCGGCAAACATTCTCTTTTCATCTTCCAGTAATTTTGCTCTTTCTCGCTGAATTTCTTCCCGTTTTTCCTGCAGTTTCTGTCGGTTCATGATGTCGAACTGTGTCAGTGATGAATCCAATCTCCTAGGCCTTTTTTGTTTTGCGCTCTGTAATATAAAGAAGAAAATGAATCCGGTGATGTGCAAATAGGACAAAATGAATGTCATATAAAAATGATTGTTTTATATCAGGTGTAACTAGTGTATAATGCATTGAGCTACAAGTCCTTTCTTCTTATTTACTTCCTACTTTGGGCGAGGTATGTTTCAGTTGCCACAAGGATGTTTGAACAAGATAGTTTTATAAATATAATAAGGAATAGCATAATCTCTTTCCATGAAACAACAAGTATAGAGTCTAACTTATTCAACCAAGACAAGATATGGCCTAATCAACAGCTAATGATGGTTTGGAGGTTATGTTATACTTATTATTTTATATTAGTCATGTAATTTTGCGCCACAAAAGCACAAAATTCCGTTTAACATGTGAGCATATCCTTGGGGCGAGAATTTACGATTTTTTTTTATTTTAAGTCTCTTGAAAAAAAGGTTGGAAACCACTGCATTAGACCACCGCAACCTATGCTAATGATCATCACAAATTTTAATAAAACATTATTGAAATTAATCATTATATATTTATACAATCAGTAACGAGGTTTAAAATTGTAACAACGGGTTATCTTTTGTATCGAACTGACTAACAACGGGTTCCCTCATTTTGAAATTGTATGTACGTCACTACGTAAGCTATGATATCATGACACGCTTTACATCAATCTTCCAAACACCAAATGTATGTAATACATAACTTTCGAAACGCCAAGTATAACTAGTTGCAAATTTAACTACTTGTATTTAGTTGCGCCGCACGTTAGCCATTTACTGCGTCGTTTAATGTCTGAAACAAATTATTCCAAGAATGTTTCAAATATAGTTATATCCTTAGCCAAAGACAACTTTCCGTACATTCACCTTCTTTTTCTGTATTTCCGCTTCTTCTTCAGAACTTTCCTGGTTTTCCAGTAAATTTTTCTTCGATTCCTCAAATATTTTCATTTCTTCCTCAAGAAGTTTTTTCCTGATTAGATAAAAGTATGGAAGATAAAACAATTGATGAGAATGCTCCAGAACAATGGATGTTATATATACTCATATTTGTCTTAAAAGAGGAAAGCCGATAAAACGATAAATTCGATAAAGCTTTAACACAACATTTTTTTCACAATAAACACAGCAAAATAAATTTAACAAAAGGGTTCAAGATGTGTTCGAAAACACGTTTTGACCAAACTCTGTTATGCTAGAATCTAGAGCAGGTGTGGAAATGTTTTTAGACCCGGGGCCAAAAGTTTTGCTCATATAGACTGGCGGGCCATGTAAGTATGGCGTGAAAAGTTACATTTTATGAGAATATTTAGTGTCACAAAAGCGAAAGTGAAAACAATAAACTCGTGCAAAAATTAAATTTAATTGCAATATCAACAAATTCCTTGGTCTATTTTTCAGCTAAAACATCAAAAATTTTGGTGCTCCCGAAGTATGCGAACCAAGATGGCGGACATCGGAACGTAACATGGGTAACAAGTTAGGGTTAGGCGATAATTTTTTTCCAATTTTCCTTATTTTAGTCCTATTATCAGTTCGAAGGCTAGCCAAGAGCCTCCCGTAGTATTTATACCTAAATTATGGCCTAACCCTAACCTAGTACACATATTACATTCCGATGTCCGTCATCTTGGTTCGCATACTTCGGGAGCCCCAAAATTTTAGTTTTGGTTTGGTTGTGGTAGAATCAGGCGGGCCACATTAAATTACGCAACGGGTAGGATTTGGCCCGCGGGCCGCAGTTTGTCCATGTCAGCTTTAGAGCAAATGGCGTCACTATCGCACTTATGCAGAATCAGTCAAGACAAATGTTTTCGGATCCCAGACAAGAAGTTTTTAAACTTAAGAGTAAGAGTGAAGACAAAAAATAACTGAAACAGAAAGTTTTTGAATATACCGTAATCTACGGTAATACACAGGTATAGGATGATTATATAATGAGAGTGTTGTTTCACTAGTGTTCGGTTGAAGACCTTCAGGTGTTCCTCGTAAAATTGTTGTTTTCCTTTTTTTACTGGCATAGAGATATTTGATTTATATAATCAATTGCACAGGAACGCATCAGCCTCTAGAATGGTTCATTTGGGTCCCACTTATAAAAAGATTGCAAACCATTGTTTCATACAAAAAATTAACAAAATACAAACCTTCTTTCTTGAATTCTTTTTCTCTCGTTTTCAATTCTCTCCTTTTCCAAAACATCAAATTTCGTGAATGAACTTGAAAGTCGACTCGGTTTGATTGTAACTTCCTCTGAACTTCCGGTACTGGGGTCAGATTCTTCATCACCAGCGGCCTGGAAAAGGTATCGACGCAGTAATATATAGTGGTTCATTTAAAGCAGGAGTGTGCAACATTTTTTGTCGGCGGGCCATATAACCAACTTCTGACATCTAGCCGGGCCATTCCAAAAATTTAATATCTTTCGGGTAAATAATGAATTGAAAAATTTTCACCACAAAAAGGCTATAGCTTAGTCTTACAGTAATAAAGGCAAAAGGCCTCAGGTTAAAATTTGATGCTTAGTGGGAAAATATCTGAGTGTTGACAAGGGCCACACTTATTGTCTTGGCGGGCCGGGTTGTGGCCCGCGGGCCGTCTGTTGCGCCCCCTGATTTAGATACTTAGAAGAACAGCTAGTGGTCGGCAAACTATTTTTAAGTGAGGCGCAAATGGTGAAATGGAAAGGCCCAACAATTGTGTTGGTAAGTTCAAATTGAACCACTTAATGAACTTGTTAAGGGCATTCAATTTGTTAGTCGAAATGAACATAATGGATGATCGTTTGTTACATAAATTAAAAGGCATTTGGCAAAATATGTAATGCTGGGTTTATAGAACCAATTTGTGTACAACTGCCCATAATTGAACCGCCCACTAAAAATGATAGGTCGGGGGTCGCTAACTCAACTCGAGCTACCATTTATAAATAAACCTACTCAATTTACCTATCAAAGGCGAAAGAAAACTCCTAGCATAAAAATAGGTACTCCCGTAGTATGTGAACCAAGATGGCGGACAGTGGAATGTAGTATGTGTACCAAATTAAGATTAGAACATAATTTTATCCCAATTTTAGTTTTATTACGAGTTCGGGGACTAGCCAAGTGACTCCCGTAGTATTTGCACCTGAAATTATAGCCTAACCTGGTCCGCCATTTCGGTTCACATACTACGGGAGTACCAAAAATTACACAAAAATCTCTACCAATTTTGCTTCTCTGAACATTCTTTTTTCTTCTTCCAGTCTTTTCTTGCTTTCCCGATCAGCCTTTTTCCGTTTTTCCTCTTCCTGAGCTAGGGCGATCTCATCAAACCTTGTTGAAAGTTTCTTCGGCTTCTTTACTGGTGCCGGTGATTCCTTCTGCAGGGTATCTGAATCACTGTCCTCTTCGGATTGATTCTAAAAGAAGAATTCAGTGGCTGCACACACGGTCTTTTTGGGAAGGAAGGCGCGGAAAAGCAAAGTTAAATAAAATATACCAAAATTACTGTTGATTTTGTTTTTTGTTTGTTTTGTAAAAAAAATTCGTAAAGAGTTGAACTCCTTTATAATCTGGGTCATGTAGTAGGGTGGGATTCAAACTCAAGACCTTTATCTTGCTGTTCCGACAAAGTTAATCAACTCCTGACTAAACAGATTTATCTGGTTCTGTTCGCTTATTTTCTACTCTCCCATACCCTGATCTAAATAGCAGGGATGGGATTCGAACCCCAGACATTTAAATTGCCTCTTGACAAGGGTTTACCAGCTTTTGAATAATGAATAGACTAACCTGATTCTGTTGGCTTATTTCTTTGAACGCTTTTCTTTCTGCTTCCATTTTCAATTTCCTTTCTAATTCAGCCTTCTTCCGTTCTTTTTCTTCCCTTTTCTTTGCCATTTCTTCGAAACTGGAAGCGTTCAATTTACCAGGCTTTTTTATTCTGCCTTTTGTGGTGAATTGTGTCTCATCTTCACAGTTCTCAATTCCTTCTTGTTTCTGAAAACGAAATTATGTTAACGCAAAGTTTGTAGGTTACTTGGTAAGACCTTTCATATCGGGAGTATACCACAGGTCAGATTGACATTGTGAGACACTGTGCCTACGAGGCCACGAAACAGTGGCACAAACAAAGCAGCCACCATTTGCGGATACTACTATTTTGAAGCAAATTAACAATTATGTGTTCAATTCTCCAACCGTAATACATTTATTCTCTTTCTTTCTTCTCACGCGATATAAAAATTGCGTGGGAATGAAAAATATGACATAAAAAGTGAGAGAATGACACGAGAAACCGAACTTGTCGTCATTATTGTCCCGGGGATAAAAAAGACATCACGGTACACTAGCTTAGATTTGAAAACTTGAAATTAAAATGGAGGATGATACATGAAGGAGAATGATACATGATCATATGAATATGCCATCTCATCGGTTTTCGTTTCTAAATAACTGAGCATTGCTTTCTTATTCATAGTAATATGTGGTATTAATATTGGTTGGAAGGCGAGATAATTTCAATAATACTGACGGTCGATTATCGTCAGCCTCATATGCACCTTGGTTTTTATTAAGTGTATGTAACCTAATGTTATTCCAGCGTTGGTGAAAAAATAAACCATTGAATGCCCGACTGAAATTGTGTGAAAAACTACAAATAATTGAACCAAGCATTTCATTATTACGGTATATCTTAATTTCGTATCTGCAGTGCACGACATAGAGTTCCTAAAAATGGCTATCTCATAAAACGGCGAATTCTGAACGAAATTTATAAATGATGGTTGATGAATTATGAGAGAAATCATGGATCGAATTAATGATATCATAAAGCCCCGTGTAATCACAAAACCTCACGCTTAATTCTTCCGTTTTCAATTTCATTGTTATCGTTCTGTGTCAGCGGTTCTCTTTTCTCTTCTCTCATTGTATTTCTCTCTCAGAATTAATTCTTAATTTTGGAGGCTTCGAACCGATGTCACCCATACTCACGACAAACATACTCTGAAAAGTATTCCAGAAGCTCACATGCGCCATCATTTCCATTTAAAGTAAAGTAGGCGAACAAATTAGTTATCTCCATATTGGTACACATACTTCTGGATAGCCGATCAAACCCCCATATCATTAAAATCGAAAACATGCTCGCATACCTCTTGTAATTTCTTTTTTGCTAATTCAATTTCAATCATCTTCCTGTCCCGCTGATCCTTTTCGTTTCTTCTTTTTCTTTCATTTTCAGCTTTTTTTCCGCTCATCTTCTTGCTTTTTCTTCTCCAATTCTTCAAATTTACCCTGAACCACATGAATTTATATTTTTTAGACATTCATCGGGATATGAACCGTTTAAATGACATCCACAATATATACATAAATACGCATAAAAAAATCTGGACCTCCTGAAGTATGCGCACCAAGATGGCGCACAACCTGAACTCTTAGTGCGCATACTTCAGGCGTACCAAAAATCCAATAATATAATTTTGTTTACCGCTAGTCCAAGTCCAAGTATACAATAAACCACAAGAGATTTTTAACGTCTATTTATAACGTTTGGGGGGATCCCTGTTCCATGTCCTTCTATATGCCTTACCTTCACTGTTCCTTTCAGCTTTGGCACAAAAGTCGCCATTTTCTCAGAAGGCTTCAGAGTCGGCGTCTCGTCTTCAAGAAGTGCGTTGATCTGTGATGTCATAAAGTAATATCAATTAGTCTGTAGTGCCGTTGTGGTTAACATTACTTGGGCGGAATTTTTAGGATTATTCGCGGTAAAAGGAAGCCAATTTAGGCGGCAAAACCACATGCGAACCGTGGCGTCTTGTGCAATTGCCATTCCAGGAAACGAGGTCTTTTAATTAGTTATTTTTTTAGATTTGTAGATGTGAAAATTGAAGCCATGGCTGTTTCTGACGCAGCGCCCATGTGGCTAACTAATCCCATACCCGACATGAACTGGTAACCAGACTTATCGGCTTTCTTCTCCCACGGGATAAATATGGAATTTATATCCTATTACTAAATGAACTATTCGACGGCGAAAGTTCAAACATTAACGTCATAGGAGTCGAATCGCAAGGCAGGGTAATGAGAGGTAGTGATTGACAGTTAAGGTTGGGTAATGCTATTACTTCGTGTATTGATTTGGAGGTACTCCTGAAGTATGCGCACCAAGATGTCGCACAACCTGAACTCTAACCTGGTACCCAACCTGAGTTCAGGTTGTGCGTCATCTTGGTGCGCATACTTCAGGAGGTCCGGATTCCGTAAAGAACGAGCGGTCAGCCTCACGCCGGCAAAGAGTCATTAATCCTCAGCGGTCAATTTGTTAGATAGATAATAGCAAACAAAATTCAATTTACTGTGATTTACAAACAAATTTACTGCATTTTTTAACAGCGCGTTATTAAAATAACATCTGCTCAAAACAATTGTCTTGGGATTATGCTGTAATAATGATACGTTTGTGTCACGTGATACAGCAGGTGATCGCGTTCGTCTGCCACAAAAATTTCGGGAATTCGACTCGTCAAAACGTCGCGCGTGCCTTGAAATAAAATCCAAGCCATTACGTCAGTGATTCCAAGACTTTTTCGATATCACAGCAAAAGTATCATTATTATTCTCTCATTGTCTATAAAAGCCTGATTTGTGAAGTAATTAATTTGGAAAACTTGAGAGAGAAAATAATTCTTTTGTGCGAAGCTTCTATGCAGACTTTTGAGCCCGATCTTACCCTTAGCATTGTAAATTATGATAGTATTCTGGTTATAACATAAGTAGCTATTCACAATGGTTGTTTAAAGCTTTTTTTGGAGCGAAATACAACTATTAAAAGTCCATACCTCAGCCTTGAACTTCGCGACCTCTCTCTCTCGTTTTTCTTTTTGCATTTGTCTCATTTTTTCGTTTTTATCGAATTTCTTCTTTTTTTTGTCTTTTTCTGAAACAGCTGATTGGAAACGGTCCAATAGTTTTCCTTCACCCAAAGATGAAACGATTTTGATTGGTCCTTTTGAATCCGTATTTTCCCGCCTCTGTAAAAAGGTTAGTTGAATTTTAGTTACTGTATTCTACAGACCACAAGGTACACTGCCAATCGATTGCTTAGACTTTGTTTTTATTCATACATAAGGCACAACGGAGTTGTTAGATTATGATCGTAGTCAGTTTAAGTTGTATTTTAGGTCGCCACAGACTTTAATGTTATGGGGACGTTTTTACTAAACACTACGTTTTTTCTCTCACTCGACGACGGCGTGGTTTTCACGTCTTTTTCTTTCGCCTCGTGTGTGTAGCCCTGGAGTTTCAATTTTGTGCCGAAATCGTTTTGTTAACGTACCCATAACAACTTCTTAACGTTCTTTATTTTCATACTTACTGACTTCGGGGTACTCCCGAAGTGTGTGAACCAAGATAGCGGACACTGGAACGTAGTATGTGTACCAGGTTAGGGTTAGGCAATAATTTGGACCTCCTGAAGTATGCGCACCAAGATGGCGCACAACCTGAACTCAGTTTGTGTACCAGGTTGTGCGACATCTTGGTGCGCATACTTCAGGAGTACCAATAATTTTATTCCAATTTTTATTATTTTAATTCTATTACAAGTTCGACTAACCAAGGGACTCCGATAGTATTTGTACCTAAAATTATGGCCTAACTCTAACCTGGTACACATACTACGTTCCGGTGTCCGCCATCTTGGTTAACATATAACAGGAGTGCCGACTTCGGTCAGATAAAATGTTAAAAAAAAACAATACAAACTTACCCTTCGTCGCCTCTTCTCCATAGCTGGATCACCGCTCACATTTTCAATGATCAGATCGGTGGACATCGTGGTTGTCAAAGTAGTATTCTAGTTACTGTGCAAATTGGAGGCAATCGGAGAGATTTCAATTCGATTGGGAGGACGGATGGAATAGAATATATTACTTATTAAACTCTAGGATATTTTGTTTTTAATAGTTCCTACTTGAACGCCTGCAAAACGTATTTATATATAAATCAGGGGTCAGCAAACTACGGCCCGCGGGCCGGATCCGGTCCGCGGAGCAATATAATCCGGCCCGCGACGCTTCACCGAATTACTTCAAAAAAACAGCATTATTGACGATTATATTCTTTATGTGACAGAATTTGTTTTGAGGCACTAAATTATATTATAATCTAACAAGTATATAATTCACAATCACTCATTTAATGAGCCTATAATTGATTATAATTAGACAAATGGCAACAGAACGTAAAAAAGTTAATGCTCAGTGCAAATGGTTTAATGGCGCAGAAAATATTCAAATGATTAGTCTTCGCGCACTGCTTGAAATTTAACTGAAATCTGTGTGAAAAAATGTGATTCAATGGCCATTCCCTCGGTTTTTACTTTTCTAAAAAAATAGGTGCGGCCCGCCAATGACTTGCAATCTTTAAATTCGCCGACCCCTGATATATATTATATGATATGAGCCATTATAATATAAATGGTATATATAAAAAATGGTACTCGACCTGAAAATGGAATAGTAGCCGTGTACCGAGAGTTGCTATAAGATTCATAAAAACATTGAAAACAGTCAAACCCCACCAAAAACGTTCCAAAACAATGAAAAACCACTTTCCTCGGGGTGAATATGAAACTACTCTCATTATCATATCTAGCGCACAACACCAACGCATGTGCGCATAAAGATATATTCAAGCAGTTGGATGTTTTGTTGCCCCCCAATAATGCAAAAACGGGAGATTTCAGGAAACACGCCTCGCCTAGTTTAAAATAACAAGTCAGTAATCGTCCATTTACGAATAATTTGAAAATTTAAATTTCTAGCGCAATCTGAATTCCTAACCCTAACTAAATAAATCTTCATCATTTTTTTTTATTTTGAGCCGTTCGATTCAGATTTGTGTCAAAGATCCAAGCCATATTATCAGCTTTCTCTCCTCGGTATAAATAATACAAATCCTACACTTTTATAGTCAAGACCCACTACTACCATAGTACCTATCTCTACTGTCTTACAATATTTTCACCGCCTGCTATATAAAACGATTCGTGCGAATTCCAACAGCAAATGTACCAACTCGGAAAAGTGCGATTAATAATTATTACTTCAACGTGTCGCAGTTCTGGCATCGCTATTTATCACAGCTGCCCCTTTCGCTCGTCTTTGGTAACATACTCGAGATCTCACACTCTGGGGGATTCCTGCTAAACTGCGCAAATTTTGTCACTGATACTTTAAGAAGATAGAACTCTGAGAAATTTTACCGGCAATCGCCTGGCATTACCTATTATGAAGGTCGGATCATGCGTTTTAGTGGCTCTAAGAACTTTGGTGCTTAGGGCATATGAATAATAATAATAAAACCTTCAAACTTTTTCATAGTTGTCAAATGACTTTTAAAAACAAAAAATAATCAGAAATCCATTCAACCGGGCCAATATTAAGGTCTGTTTCGTCTGACAGCTCGAACAACCTGAGGTAGTTAATCTTATGTAACCCCGACTGATGGTTACTTCAAATTCTTATCATTTCTCTGAATGCGGTCCCCCTGGGATGCTAATGACAAACAAACGCTAAAGACTTAACTATCTGATGGAAGCTCTGTTTATCACGACATTCCGTGTGATGTTAAAAACAATCACGCGCTTTGTAAAATTAACCATAATTTCAAAGTAAATGAATTGCAGCTATAATACTTAATTTCTCTTCAATGCGGCTCCTCTGTAACACTAATGTCTAACAAACGCTTCTGTTGATCATAACATTAGGCGCGCTGTCAAAATCACGCAAATCTTAAATCTTTTTATCAATTCCTGTTCTGTGTATTTGTTCTTCGTGCTTGCTTAACAATGATGACTTCAATTGGAGTCGTGGAAAATTTTAATATATCGGAGAAGCTTGTTTATCTTGAGTTTTTTTAATAGCTGAACTGCTAATTGTGCAATTCAACCATTGATGAGGGTCAGATCAAGTCTTTTTAATGGGCGTTTAGATAGAATAGAACCCCGACCGATGGTAACTTCAAATTCACTTAATTTCTTTCAACGCGGCTCCCCTGGGACGCTAATGACTAACAAACGCTTATCTGATAGAAGTTTATCACGACAATCCGTACGCTGTTAAAAACAATCACGCGCGTTGTAAAATTAACCACAATTACATGGTAATTGAATTGTAGCTATAATCCACGAATTCATGACCAACGAAAGACTTTTGCAGAACTTTTGTAACATACAATACAAACATTAAAAAGTAAGAGAGACTCATTTTCAAGAAAAGTTACGGTAGATACTGAAGCGCAAAGATCTACTGAAACAATGTATTTTAATAGTTCCATATTATTCGCAAGTATTAGCTAATTTGACGCGAGAATCGAAGCAGTTCAAGCAGGAACGGGCCTATGAACGGTGACCGTACATTTGAACCCATGCGTATATCCACGGGTTCAATCTATATGCGGGTGCTAAAACCCATGGGTTAGGGTTCGTATGGGTTTAACTATCCGTGAAACAAAAAATATTTTCATATGTGCAATAGCATACAGGTGAAATTGTCATGGGTTCAAATGTAATGGAACCCCTATGAACACGTTCCAGCCCTTCTATATTTCTGAATGAACGCAGGACTAATGAAATCAGCTGGCATCCTAGACAAAAACACCATAATCCAATTCGATGTTTCAACTACACTTAACGTTTTATCTAATCTCTAAGTGAAGTAGCGCTAATTGATGTGACGTACTCGTTTCCCTGACAACGGAGTGACGTTAACCAGGTCGTTGAAATAGAGATAAGTCTTTAAAGCGTTTACGATATCATAAGTGTTTTGTAAAACAAGAGCTGGGCAGCTGACATATCGCGCTAGGACTATGACGTTACTCTGCGAGTACTTCTATCCGCACAGTTTTAAAACGGTCTTTAGCCAGTGGTGGGATTCAGTCAGTTCGCACCGGTTCTATAGAACCGTCTCACGGAATTTTATGAGATGAGCGAACCGGTTAGCATTACTGGTTACTGTCAATGTGCTGTTTGCAACAGAACCGGCTGAAAAATATGGCTTTTGTGAAGGAACCGGCTGACAAATAATTTGAATCCCACCACTGTCTGTAGCCCGAAAAATCCTGTAATTATAAAGCCCGAAAATAAACGATCCTCTAATTATAATTTACGCATTCTCTAGGACCCAGCCAAAAGACCCCCCCCCCCCCCATCCACGTTTCCGGACCCACTAACAGACATTGTATAACTTGGCAATTAGAAATTTCAAAACACCCCGCTTTGAATATCCATGACTACGGCCCTCGCATTTCTCGCCACTATACACATTTTTTCGTATCATACAAAGCAATTTTTCGCAACTTGAAACGTTTTTCAGCCTTTAAGACTCCACGTTTTCCGGACCCGTTAGCAGGGTGGTCCAAGGTTGTCGGCCACGCGGGCCACACTATTATTTTCATATTGTTGCGGGCCATAATAGTGTCAAGAATAGGTAAAGAGTGCAATACAAAACAAACACTTTTCATTATTTGTCATTTATCAAGCTAAAACATGCAAAAAACCACTAAAAATTATTTTTATGACGAAATAACACCAAATGCGTTTTTTTTTACTCTCCCGCCAATGGGACGCGGGCCACAGATAATGTAGCGGCGGTTGTGCCCGCATGTGGCCCGCGTTTGGACCACCCTGCGTTAGCTAATACGATCTAACTTGACAATTATACACCTTAGAACCCCATTTTGAAAATCCATGACAACGGCCCTGGCATTTCTTGCCATTATACTCATTTTTTTCTGAATATACATAGCAATTTTTCGATTCTTGAAACGCTTTTTAAACCCTCAAGATTCATGAAAACAAACGTTTCCGTACCCGTTAGCTGATACAGTCTAACTTGACAATTAGAAATTTCAGAATCCCCTTTTAATTCGAGAGTTTTGCTGCACACTTACACAAATATATTTCTGTAACGTTTGACAGTTGTAAAATGCTTGTCTGAAGAAGCAAGGAAAGGTAGTTAGTTTCACGTAACTTCAACTCTTAGTTATTTCCCAGAACCCCTGCTTTGAAAGTCCTGTCTACTCTCCGAGCATCTGCTACCACTATACACTGTTCTCGACTGTCTGTCTAACACTGAATGTAAAGTAACAGAGTATTTCACTTCAATAATATCACGGGAGATGAAACACAGCCGTTCCTTCTCAGACAACTGGCATGTCGCCTCGGTTTCGTCTCAACAGCTGTCAGTCACCGTTGGAAGTATCTCTGTCCCAAGCTTGGTTTGAAGTTTCATTGTTTTCAACATCGCAGCCGCACTGAGCCCCGCGATAATAAATTATAATAATGTATAGCAGTGGCCCTCTTCCGGAAGTCTTTGGCACTCATGGCCCTCTGTTTATCATTCAAGTGATATTCATAGTGTTATTTTGGCTGTAGATTCCAAATTCCATTATTTCTATACAATTCATGCTCAACAAAGTGAAAACACTTTGTGAAATAACCTTATCAAGCAATGAAACTAGGAAGAACAGGGAGTTCCCTTGTAAAGCCTAATGTGAAATTAGTTCTTCGTCTAGCATTGTGCCTTCCCCAACAGCTCTGCCGGCCCTGGTTAAATAAGACCACTGGTGTATAGGATGTCCATAAAGTCTTAAAATTTATTTATATAGGGGAATTTATCGATATCATGTATTGTTTTGCCCTCACATATGCATTAAACGAAGTAAAAATACTTGAACAATTACTGATAAAAAAAAACTGGTTAAGATATATTGAGAACTGACTTCATAACAAAATTCAAATTGTAAAGGGAGTGTATGGACACCCTGCGTGTTTGTTCAGTATATACATGTAAAGCTAGTAAGGTGAGGCAACTTAGATTGCGATTCGTAGTAAGTATAAAGGTGATTGAAGGTAAACACGAATTTATTTTGCTAGTACAAAATCTTAATTGTCGGGATTATTCTATTTACTGCCCATATGGTA